CTTGTCTTATATTGTTTACTTATTGCATTATGAAAGAATGTTATATGTACACATTGACGGCCACTATACTGGAGCCAAATTCCTTGTGTGTCCACCACACCCAGCCAATAAAGCCGCTTGTAATTGTAATTTACACAAACACCAGAGAGAAGCGGCTTTATTGGCTGTGTATGGATGCTGTTCTGAAAGCACAAACTGAAAATCCACAACGTAAAACGGGCAGAGTGTGGTGAATGGAGAGTAGTAAACAGACGACGGGGGCAACGAGGTGTGGAGAACCAAAAGGTCTGAAGAATGAGTAACGCCACTATCACTGCCACACTCAGATGTTTTAGAGAAACATCAGAAGGACAACTCAAACGGTCGCATGAATGCTCTGAACTCGTCTCGGCTCATCTCTCCTTAGTGGTTGCCCACATTGTTTGAAATGGAAGTTTAAACAAAGAAAGAACAAACAAGCAAGCAAGCAAAAAAATAAATAAATTAATTAAGGCTGATAGCCCCTAAATAAGCTTTGGATAATTTTTCCAAACAGCTGTTTACCAGGTCAAGAAAGAAGTGTCATGTCAGGCCATCTCTGCAAAATCATCTGTGATTTTAATTTTTCTGCCACTGTCTGTCAAACAGGTTCTACAGTGATGTCTTCGTTGGCAGTGTTGACTCTTCTGCTTCTGCAGACAGGAGCCCATGGCTTTGGGACGGATTTTTTTCAGGTCACATCCTGGACTCATCAGCGCATCACTGAGAGTGCGATCTTAAATGTCACTGTGCACGTGTGCCACGCTCTGGCCCTGGCTAAAGGCAAAGACTTCACTTTTCCTGTAAGAATTTAAATCAACCAAATTATGACTTTTTAGTTCAAATCATAACTGCCTGTATTATTATTGTTAATTTATTGACTTGACAGTGTAATAAACGTGTGTGTGTGTGTGTGTAGCCACAGCTTTCTGCTGAGTCTGTTGCTGGTGCCTGTGGGGATTTAAAATCATCCAAGCGTTTTAGCAGCACAATCTCCAGGATCACACGCTGGAATGCAGAAACAGATATAGTTCATGTCTTCAGCTCAAGCCACCACTTTGACAATGAGAATTTTAGTGGGGGAAGACAACTCATCACAGAAGGATTATCAGTTGTGAGTGACAGCATCAACCAGCAGAACTTTGAGGCTGCCAGAAAAAACCTGGCAAAAGTAATGCACACATTACAGGTAGGCCACTTTCTGGTGTTGGCTTTATTTCTACTATAGTATTTTATACAGCCAATTATGTTTTGGTAGCATGAAATAAATTGAATTCTTGCTGAAGAGTTTTACAAGAAGAGTTGGATGCTGTGATGAACTTGTTGCAAATGTTTGTCTACCTTTAAAATCTGAAGGATTTCTACAGTCACAGTAACTGGGTGGAAATGGGAAACACAGTCCCAAACTCCAATCTGATCAGATCTGTCAGCACTGACATTGGCAAGATAGCAGGTAAAGAGATTATAAAGTATAATGTTGGTGTGTGTTTGGCAGTATATATATATATATACATAATTCCCCACTCGCCCCCCACTTTGGAGCGGTCTTATTCCTTCCTTCAAGCTCCTTCAAGAGGCCTGGGAGCTTGAGGGTCCTGCGCAGTATCTTAGCTGTTCCTAGGACTGCACTCTTCTGGACAGAGATCTCAGATGTTGTTCCTGGGATCTGTTGGAGCCACTCTCCCAGTTTGGGGGTCACAGCCCCCAATGTTCCTATTACCACAGGGACCGCTTGTGCCTTCACATTCCACATCTTTTCTAGCTCTTCTTTCAGCCCTTGGTATTTCTCAAGCTTCTCGTGTTCCTTCTTCCTGATGTTGTTATTGCTTGGGATTGCTACATCTACCACTATGGCCTTCTTCTGTTTGTCCACCACTACTATGTCCGGTTGGTTGGCCATTACCAGTTTGTCAGTTTGTATCTGGAAGTCCCACAGGATCTTAGCTTGGTCATTCTCATCCACCTTTGGAGGTGTATCCCATTTTGACTTTGGGACTTCCAGATGCTGTGATGAACTTGTTGCAAATGTTTGTCTACCTTTAAAATCTGAAGGATTTCTACAGTCACAGTAACTGGGTGGAAATGGGAAACACAGTCCCAAACTCCAATCTGATCAGATCTGTCAGCACTGACATTGGCAAGATAGCAGGTAAAGAGATTATAAAGTATACTGTTGGTGTGTGTTTGGTGGTTATCTATCTATTTCTTTTTCTCTCTCTAGAGAGAGAGATAGAAGGACAACATCAGTGCTTTATTTACACTTGACTAGATTTATTGCTGTTTATACTGTATATAATATTTCATTATATTGTATATTCTATTGTTTAGCCATATATCTGCATACATTTAACCACTTTGTATTTTGTTTGATTCACATCTGCATTTTGTTGTACTGATGCTCACTGTGTGCAGCAACAATAACGTTTGATCTAATCTACAGATAAAAGCAGAGCAACCTGTCGCAGCTGTGATGGAGACAACTGTGACAACAACATTTTGGAGGATATCCTACAGGAAAAGATACTTACCTCAGGATATTTTGAAGTGATCCCTTTTATTTTTAAACCCAAAGGTAAAGTCATATCAATATGTTATTACTTTCACTTTTTAATCTAAAGTACCTTTACAAACATTAAGCTACTGGCAAAGGTCATAGGCGGGTCCTTTGTTAGGGTTAAAAAGTCAGAATTTTATCCTTTATTAATTTATTTTGTCAATAGTTTCTCCTACTGGACTCTCTTCAGGCCATCAATAAAATGTGTGTATAGGTATTTAACAATGTATAAACTACTGAAGCACATTGCAGAGAATCTTGTATTTGTGACTTACACAGTTTTGAGGAAAGAGCTCATAATTGTGAGATCAGGAGCTCGTATTTACAACAAATGATCTCATAACTATGAGATAATACAGGGGTTGAAATTCTGCTGAACTTGCTTTAAAATCATTAGGTTTTAACAAGCCTTTTGTTTCAAAGTAATTCAGTGATGGTTGTCAGTAGCCTGCATCCAACAGCGTGTAGCAAAAGTAAACTATTAACACCTAATTTGGCATGCTTAGTGTTCCAAAACATAAAAAAATATAGACTACAAATGGGTCTCAAAGTTGCTCACTAAGCTACATGTACTGAACAGGAGTCTGAAAACTTCAGAACCTGCCTGACAAATACTGGGTTTTTAGGATTACAAGATCCTTTTCTAGGTGTCATAGTTGATGACAAATTCGCCTGGAAATCGCATATCAGATACGTTCAGAATAAAATAGCAAAAAATATATCGATATTGGCACGGGTGAAATATATTTTGGATGGGAAAGCACTACGCATTTTGTATTCCTCATTGATTCTACCATACTTAGAGTATGGCGTTGAAAACTGGGGAAATACATACACAAGCTCACTTCAACCATTGTATATATTACAAAAAAGAGCAATAAGAATTGTGCATAAGATGGGGTACAGGGATCATACCATTGGGCTTTCATACAGTCTAAATTGCTAAAGTTTTTTGATTTAGTGGGATACAAGACTGCAGTGTTTATGTATAAAGCCAGGAACAATTTATTACCTGGTGGAATTCAAAAAAATTGCAAGAAAGTTTGCTTTAAAATCATTAGGTTTTAACAAGCCTTTAGTATCAAAGTAATTCAGTGATGGTTGTCAGTAGCCTGCATCCAACAGCGTGTAGCAAAAGTAAACTATTAACACCTAATTTGGCATGCTTAGTGTTCCAAAACATAAAAAAATATAGACTACAAATGGGTCTCAAAGTTGCTCACTAAGCTACATGTACTGAACAGGAGTCTGAAAGCTTCAGAACCCGCCTGACAAATTATGGGTTTTTAGGATTACAAGATCTTTTCTTGTAATTATAGATAGTAAAACTTACTAACCATGAGATATTACTGTAAGTCATGGTTATGAGATAAGGTCCTCCCTTTTTATTTTTTAATTTGGTGAATGCAGTGTGCTTCCGTAGGGGGGAATGACCAAAGGTCACATGCTCTACCAAAACTGCTGTGGTGTTTTAAGATGCACCTTAGACTACTGAGCTGCAAGACACCCATAATGCCACAGTTTAAATACACAACATTTGTCATAAAACAAAAAAAACTAACGTACTGTACACATGTACTTGGCAAATAAAATCAATTTAGACAGAAGAATCGTAATACATTTGTACTGTATGTGGGGTATTCAGTGAAGATTCTGTGTAAAGTTGTATTATGTTCTATTTATCTCTTTCTGAACAGGAAAATGCAGCCATGGAGGTCTATTTGATTTTACAAGTTACAAGGCTCCTAAAGGTGGGATAAACAAAGACAGTTTGGACTCCAATCATGGAAAAAACCACACTAAAGCAGCAAATGTGGCAATAGCTGCAACCAGTGAGCTCCTAGAGGATGTGCGACGGACTGCTGGTGACACATCGTTTCTACTGTATGAAACCATCCTGCATGTTTCAGTTACAGTTACTTTATGTTCTATAAAGAGGAGAAATGCAACACTTATTCTCTCTCTTAGTTTCTGTCTCTCTTTGTATCCCTCAGAATGATGGGAATCTACAAATCTCTTTGTTTTGTGGTCGACACCACAGGGAGCATGAGTGATGACATTGCATCAGTGAACGATACTGCTTTCTCTATAATCGACAGTAAACAGGGAAGAGAAGAAATGCCCTGGGTGTACGTTCTTGTGCCATTCAGTGATCCAGGTGGGATTGTAATGTCTTAGACTACACTTTGCATTCCTGTCCTTTTTTTTCTTCTGAAGTGCAGTAAAAGAATGTTTGTAATGTCAATTTTATGGAATTTACCCCTGGTTGACTGCTTAATTATCACATTGGAAACAAATCAACTGCTTTTCATGTGCTATACACTTGTTGAAATAGTTGTTCAAATAATTCTTCTGTCTCCAATGAACCCCAGAGTTTGGACCACTGTACAAGACTACGGACCCAAATGTCTTCAAGCGTTATATCAATTCACTGTCAGCAAATGGTGAAGGAGATGCTCCAGAAATGAGTCTTTCAGGACTTCAGGTGCTGTGATGTCTTTGAGGCCACTTAATAATCTGTTTCCATATATATGTATATATATTTATTTATTTATTAACTTAACTATTCTTGCTGTTCTTTCTTTTCGTATAGCTGGCTTTAACTGGTGCTTCTCCAGGATCTGAGATCTTTGTCTTCACTGACGCACCTGCTAAGGACGTGTACCTGAAACAAACAGTGATCGCACTCATAGAGCAGACCAAGTCAGTGGTGAGTAGTACTATGTCAATGTCAAAACATGTGGCATAAAATTTATTAATGTAATAAATCTATCAAGCAACTGGAAACTTTAAACAAAACCTGCCTGTACTATAACTAAGAACAGTAGTTTACAGTCGTACCAGTGGCTCTGGGAGGGTGTACTTAGGCACAGTTCTGCTTTGAGCTAATAGGATAAAGACAGGTCTAAATTAATGGGACAGTCCTATAGAAATATTTAAACAATGAAGTCAAGAACACAAAATCTGACTTTTGTGGTATTTAATAAACTTTCACAAAAGGGCTGAGTGCATCCAGAAAGCAATAGGTCTCTAGGGGCAAAGAGAACAACTCCGGCATCCTGCACATCGGGCGTCAATAATAACATGTAAACTCACCTCTCTCTCTGCTTTAGAGTATTGACAGTTTAACCAATGTCAATGGCAGGTTGTTGCTGCCAAATGAGACTTGACTAGTTTTTAATCCGAGGTTTCTCTTGCTTTCTCCACCAGCACTATGAATGTTTAATAAGCGTTAAATTATAATTGCTTTGTGTTATTAGCTTAAGCACATTGTGTTTGTCTGTTCTTGTGACTTACATAAAGATCAGACCACCTACGACTCAAACTCTCATCCAGTTGTTTTCTTTTCAGGTGAACTTTATGATTACTAACGTACTGGGGCTTCGTCGTCGAAGACAAAGTGATGACAACCAACAACAACAGCAGTACAGGATGTTGACATCAGATTTCCAGCTGTACAACGAGCTGGCTGAGGTTTCTGGAGGTCAGGCTATTCAAGTCACAAAAAGTGAGCTCCTTAGGGCCACCAGCATCGTAAGAGAGTCTACCAGCGCCTCTCAGGTATTAAGACAATGCTCTCACTGGCCATAACCATTGACTTTGCTAATTTCCAAAAACATCAATTGTATCACTAATGTCATTTAATCACCAAGGTGACCCTTCTGCAAGCAGTCAGGGACACAGGAAATGCTGAGAATTTCACCTTCACAGTTGATGAGACAGTAAAAAACCTCACGGTTTACATCACTGGGAAGTCTGTCACCTTTACTCTCATCAGTCCCTCAGGTGACACTTTATTTTTAATAATTAAAGCATTTGTTTCTTTCACTCTTGGCCTTTTAACCAGTGTGCTTCATTTCTTGACATTTTTTAGGTGTGCATCAGGACAGCACTAACATGACAGGATCACTGATCACTGCATCCCAGTCGGTGGGAAACTTCCAGACTCTGCAACTAAATACACAAGTAGGATTGTGGGAGATTAAAATGGTGTCACCAAATCCCTACACACTGAAGGTTGTAGGTGAGGCCTCTGTGATTATGTGGTGAATCATATAATGAATGTTAGGTTGAATGAATGTTGAATCTAATCTAATCATCTTAGATATAACTGTCCTTCACTCAAATCACAAAAGAAAGTAGCATGTATTCATACACATGGTATTATTTTGAGAAATCCAACACTAAGCAATATGCCATCAAACTGATACAGTTGGGGTTGAACACATTTGTGTGTCTGTTCCTCAAAAACTTCTTTTCTTGTAATTCTTTTTATTTGCAGGTGTCAGTCCCATTGGCTTCTTGTTTAACTTTTTGGAGGTGTCGAAAAGCCCACGGGGAGGATCTAATATCGTAGACGGTCGACCTAGGGCTGGTAAGGAACCAGAATTGTTTGATATGCCAGAGTAATTGGACCACCTTAGGCATACAGTACTTGATTGAATTTTTTTCTTTGTCCTGAAGGTGTTAATGCCAGCATGATGGTGACAATAAGTGGGAGTGACTCCGCCATAGTGAGAGAAGTCACTCTGGTTGAATCATTGGGTTCGGGGATGGTTAACAGCACCATAGAGACTCAGAGCGGGAGAAACATCTTAATTCGGTTTGACAAGATACCATCAGCTAGGTTTGCGGTACTTGTGAAGGGACAGATCAGTAACGCTTCCACCAAAGCTTCCTCAGTGCCCTTCCAAAGGCAGTCATCCACCACCATCAGATCTTCTAATGTGACTGTTACTGTTGTAAGTAAACTGCACCTGTCTGAAAACCTGTGGTGCGCCCTTCAAGGTGCAGTTGTCTTCTCATTGTATTCTTAAAACTGATTGTTTTTCCTTTTTTTTGTTTTTTTGTTTTTAGACAGATAAAAACAGTGTCTTAGTACCAGGAACACCACGATTACTTCCCTTCTCTGTGACGACCAGCGGTGCAGGAGGAAACTTCATCATCCAAGTTACCAATGACCAAGGTTTTAGTTTAACTTTCCCATCTAGTTTATCCCTGGAAGCTGGCGGCAGTGCCTATGGTATAGTGACCATCACGGCGCCTCCAGACACCACGTCTGGTACGAGCGTCACCTTGACCATTGGGGCCGAGGCTCCAGGAGGCGCAGATACAAACTATGCTGTGCTGCGTTTAACTGTCCAAACAACGGTAACTCTCCAGTTGAGGAAGAAAATTGCAATTCTATAACTGTTAAGGAAATGAATAATCATTCTGCTGTAGCTTATTTAACCATTTCAGCATTGGGTTTATTGGGCGAATTATTGTAAAACTTTATCTAATTTGTCTTCTCCTTATAGGAGACTGTTACTCAGCCAGTGTGTCTGCTGCTCAGCCTACTGTCCAACTGCTCTTACAATTGCAGCTTGTCGATGTGGGAGCTCTCTGTTCAGGTGACTGATGGGTTTAATGGGACGGGCATCGACGTTAGACTCACAAAAGGCAGTGGTATCTTGAACACCAGCCTGACTTCCGGCAATGTGAGCACAACACTGGTGTCCTATAGGGCGTCTTGTTGTTCACCAGATGTGGAGTTGTTGGTTGTGGATCAGGCGAGTAATGTAGGCATCTGTTCCTACACTGTCCGGAATAACGTCACCGCCACCAGTGCACAAGTATCTGTTGCATCTTTTTCTGCCAAAGCTGTTCAGTCTTTTCTTCTATGCCTCAGCATCTGGATTCCTGGGCTCACTTTACCATGAGAAATAGGGACCAACTGAGGGCTAACATGTTAGTGTGGGGAAGAGTTACATTTTAAAATGTCCTTTCAGCCTTGGAAAATTTGACCAACATATGCATACTAAAAATGACTTACTGCACATACTGTATACTCTGTTGCTACATACTGTAAAACATAATATAAACTAATGCAGTCTAACATCCCTGCCATAAATACAATGAATTTATTTCCTGGAGCTTAAAACCCTATCAAGAGGCTAGAAAAAGAGAATGTTTCATGGCACTGGCAGTACCATGGTGCATTACTGGTACCATAAAAAGAACCATGGAACAACTGAATATACTGTCTATTACTAGAATAGTTTATTTGTGAAGGAAGGTTGTAATGTTATATTACATCTATTATGCGAAATGTTTCTAATATTTGGTCTGCTCATGTTGATATATGGATTTACAGTAGCTAGGTGAACATTAACTGGCAAGTGATATTAAAAACTTTGATCTTTATTAACTACATGTATTATCTGCTTTACAGAGCACTTTAATAGGTTCTGCAAATGCTGTATGTGTTATGATTAATACATAG